GATGGGAATGGGGAGTTGCCGGGGGCGGGGGGGCGGCTCTTGGGGTCTGAGAGGGGAGGGATGGGGAAGCACCTCTCATCAGCTCAAGCAACTCCTCTAATGTCCTGTTATGTGTATTTCTATTTGTCCCTTTCTGCAGGTGGTGATGGCCATCAATTCAGAGCTGCTTCACAGGACTCTCCACCTCGGAGACCTGGATACCATCGTGGCCAGATTTGTAGGGCTACGATTTCCAAACTGCAGTGGAGAACTCGACAGGACGCACATCCCGATCCACGCACCATCCCATTGAGCAGTCCAGTATATTAACAGAAAGGGCTACTTTTCTATGGTGCTGCAGGCCCTGGTCAACCACCGGGGACAATTCACAGATATTTGTGTTGAGTGGTCAGGCCGGGAACACGATGCCCGCATCTTCTGGAACTCATACCTATACTGCAGGCTGGGACATTCTTTCCGGAGAGAAACTTTGCACTGGGGGATGTGCAGATGCCTATGTGCATCGTGGCCAATGGGTGTGGCCCTCATGCCCTGGCTCATGAAGCCATTCAGTGGACACCTGGATGCAAGCAGAGAACTGTTTAACTCCCACCTGAATTGGGCTTGCTTCCAGGAAGAGTGCGCCTTTGGCCGTCTGAAGAAGAGATTTAGATGCCGGCTCACTCAGCTGGACATAGGGGAACGTGACATCCCCAAAGTGGTTGCTGCCTGTTGTGTGCTGCACAACCTGGTGGAGAGGAAAGGGGAGACCTTCCTCCCAGGGTGGGGGACACGGGCTGATGTGGAGGGGAGGCAGTTTGAGCAGCCCCGGACAGCTGCCATCCGCCAAGCCCACCAGGTGGGATTGCGCATTCCAGAAGCTGTGAGGGAGAGATTCTCCCAAAGAGCCCAATGAGTTTCCCCAAGGCCTTCCAAATGTGGGTTTGCCCCATACCCCCACTGCCTTCCCTCCCAAAACCCCTCCCTGCCCCACGTTGCACACATTCACAGAAAACGGAGGCAGGTGTTCTTGACAAAATGTGTGCAGTTTATTGTACTGTTGATTGTTCCAAAGCCTATATACCCAGACTGCAATTCAAACTGTTAATATTAAAATCCTATAGGGATTGGGTTCTAGTTACCTCTGAGACAGCCACATTCCCGAACACATGCAATCACATCAGCAGAGATCCCTAGATCTGATGTATGAGAACATGCATTTATCTGAAAATGTGGATCCATATGTCCCAGTCAGAAGTCTCAGTGTAAAGCAGAATCCTCTCTGCCCTTATTGTCTTGTTTCATTTTTCAAGTCCAAGAATTAAGTCTCCATTACTATTTGGCAATTAGTCATATTCTTATGAATGCATTCTCCCTTTACAATTTTTTTCCAGATTGAAACAGTTTTATTTTTTCCCGGATCAAACTTATCTATCTATTGCTTCTCTAAATACCCATTGCTACGCTATCCTAAAATCTATCCCTTCAGGCTTCATTCCATGCACAATCATTATTTATTCATTTTAATTACCATAAAATATTCTTATGCCATTCTTATATTCTTATGTTCTTATGTAAAATAATATTTTGAGACATGTCTTAATTTGTTTCCTAGGCAAGTACTAGAAGATAAAGCTGGGAGGTCTCTCATCAGTAATAAAATATATTCAGACAAATAGGTATGAGTACAAACTAGAGAAAAATATCAAACAGAATTCTAAACTGGATAAGAAAGATCCAGAACAACCTACCTGTGTAAAGTTGAACTCCTGTCTGACGTTTTTCAAATGTGATGTCATTGCCTCAATACGTTCTTCAAAGTCAGTCAACTGATTTTTTAGGTTTGTTTTTTCTTTCTGCAATTTTTGCAGCTATAAACAAACAAACAAACAAACAAAAACAAAAAGTACTAAACTCAATCAATTTCTTCAAATAGCAATGCCTGTTTATAATTATATAAGCTATCTAATATAAATCTCAAGAGTACAGACAGTATACTTCACTTCTTTGAAAATTAAGATAGAAAAATAAATATAGTTGCCTAGGGAAAAAATATGTTTAAAAAGTAATGTTACTTATGACTTAAATGTTAATCCAGTGTGACATATAATTCTGTTTATCATCATTTACCTGTAACCCTCATTGTACAAGGAGTAAGGGAAGTTGGAGGAAGAGTGCTCTATTTTGAAATAAGTGCTGTGGAGATGCTCCCAATTTCGAAATAAGCTATGCAACTGACGTAGCTTAATTTGCATAGCTTATTTCGAGTTAAGCTCCGCTGTGTAGATGCACCCTTAGAGACTAACATTTAGGGTTCATCTACACAGCTCCCTAAAGTTGAAGTAAGATATGCAATTTGCACTATCCGTCTTATTACAATTCTATTTTTAAATAGCTTATTTTGAAATTTGGCGCATCTACACAGCACCAAATTTCGAAATAACGCACTATGTCAAGACATCCCTTAACCCCCGTGGAATGTGGGTTACAACATAGCATGCTTGTTATGTCAAAAAATAACGGGCAGCTTGTTAAGACTCAGGGAAGCTATTTCAGGATACCTCTGATATCCCGAAATAGCCATAGTGTAGATGTACCCTTATAGTATCTTGAGCTTTTGTGGACAAAACCTACTTCTTCAGATCAGAACCTCAATAAAGAACAGGTGATGACAAGCACAGGACTAGCCTTGGCGGGGAGAGGGGATGGAGAGTTTGTCCAGGACATCAGGTTATCCCTCTTCCTCCTGTGGAAAATGCTTTGGGAGTTCAGTAGATAGCCCTGGGGAGTTATATCGCAGCTGTCATCTGGTGCCTCCAGTAGCGCAGCAGCAACTTGCTGGGCCATTGGGTCAGTCAATAACAGGTGATGACAAGCACAGGACTAGCCTTGGCGGGGAGAGGGGATGGAGAGTTTGTCCAGGACATCAGGTTATCCCTCTTCCTCCTGTGGAAAATGCTTTGGGAGTTCAGTAGATAGCCCTGGGGAGTTATATCGCAGCTGTCATCTGGTGCCTCCAGTAGCGCAGCAGCAACTTGCTGGGCCATTGGGTCAGTCAATACAATACGGCATCATCTACGAGCCGCCGGGGGGCAGGGGGAGGCTCTGTGTCCTGGGAGAGATTATCCCGCGGGGAGCCCTAGGTTTAGCTGGGAGTTCATTGGGGGGG